TAAACTTCATGAGGTTTGCACTGGCCAATAGACCATTTTATAGATTATTTTCTCAGAGCCTGGGGCAGAATGCAGGCCAGTTTGTGTCCTACCTCTGTGAGCTGGACCACTGTCCACGCTGCCGCCGTAGCCCGAGTGGTTGCAGAAGGGAGGAGCCCAGCCTGAGTTGCAGTGGCAGTTCCCATTGTTGTTACACACCTACAGCCCAGACACCAGGGGTTAATTAGTCAGGCAGTGGCAGGTCCCATTGTTGTCACACACCTACAGCTCATACCCAAGGATCAGGAAAACAACAACACCTCTCTGACAGACAGAGGCCACTGGCAACCTCCTGCATGGAGTCAGAGCTCCATGTAAGGAATTGCATGTGGGAAATAGAAATGCTGCATAGTATTGCATAGAAATACATGAAATGTTAACTAGGAATCAGCTCTCCATAACATCCCAAAGCACTGAGTGATATGATACCACATGGTAATTCTCTGTAGAAGTTAACATTTGTGTTGTTATTTGCCTGCAATAAATTACAATCCAAAGAACTTTGCAGTTTTATGACCTCTGGACTCCATTTTGAGTTTTCACAGAGACATGTATAAATCAGAGTTATTAGACTGTCCTCCTCAAAGGAATATTTTCCTTTTACAATTCAACAGCTCAGTCATATTAAAAAATTCCCTTGGAAAACTCAGATGTTGGTGCCAAGAGGTTTGCAGTATACAGGCAACATGAATTACAGATTAAAAAGTGGATTTAGCTTTTAATACAAATCAGAAAAAAAAGCAAAGCCATCTGGTTGCACTTGCACCAAGCTTCTGGAAACAGGACAGGAAGCACCATCTACTCACCCCATTGTTATTACACTTCTGCTTCACATCACAGCTGTAGCCCAGAAAACTTGCATCAACACACTCAAAACCTACACAGGCCTGGAAGAAATAATTAGCGTCTTGCAAACACAAAACTTATAAATATGCTCTATAAATGTATATGTTTACAAGTCTACAGCTTTTATTTAAATATCCAGAAAAAAGGTTGATAGATCACTCAGTACTTCAATAATTTTATGGCTGTATTTGTCTGAGGTTTAACTCTGTGGATGTGTTTTGATGGAGTAATTTGAATAACTGGTAATGTGGTTCACTGATTTGTAGCATCCCAGTTTGTGAAGAGCTCATTAATTGTTTGCATGTGCCAATCTCAAAACGCAGACTTTTATTGCATTATGGCACACAAACATGAGAGCTCTGTAATGCTTTTGGAAGATAAGAATTTTCCACTTGATGGAATAAATTCCATTCCTCTTACCTTGTTTTCTCCACAGGCTGTTCCATCATGAACTTGAGCAGGATCAGGGATATCTGATCCTAAGTCAAAGTCAGAAGACCAACACAAAACCCCAGATGCATTGTTGACAACACTCCAAGCAGGAAGGTTTTGGAGACTGACAGATGTGCATTGGAGCTTGCCACACAGACTGTGCCTGTATGGAATGAAGGACACTCAGAGATAAGTTGAACAGGAAATAAAACCATTATCAGTGCAAATACACCACCCAATTGGACTTTTGAGCCTCCTGTTCAAGGAAATATCCTTTTAATCCTCAGGCTTTAAGAGTCTGTAACAGACTCTATTTTTTACAATGAAGATTTTAGGGTTAGCTTTTATTTACTGGAGACTTACTGGACAGGACATTTCTTGTATGCTCCACCTCTCATTCCACAGTTTCCAAACCTGTCTCCTTTAATATTTGCTTTTTCAAAGCATATATCAGGTGCTTTTCGTGCCCCTGTACAAAAAAAATAGTGAATCTCAGTAAGCCACTAGAATGTCTGAAAAATATAAGGAAGAAAGAGGAAAACTGGAAATGTATCTCAGGAGACTACAAATGGTTTGCCATGAAATTCTAACCTTACCTTTCCCATATATAGATTCACACTGGGAGTCAAAGCTCTGGCACACTCCATAGTAGCAATATGCCTTCATGTTGCTGCATGGGTGACCATTCATGATGTAAACATCATCTGGACAGTAGGCATTGCTCCCATTGCAGTATTCAGGGAGGTCACAGAAATCCCTTTTTGCTCTGCACTCTGCTCCTGCCACTTTAAACTGGAACCAGAGAGGAATGACATTTGTAGTTTGCAACAGCCTGAAACAGTGACAACTGGGAACCTTTAGTCATATTAAGGACAACAAATTCTCTTCTTACATGATCTGTATTGATGGATGTAGTTTGTGTGAAAATATGTCAAGAGGGCTAGGATGGCTCTTTTCAAACATTCAAAACTCCTAGTTTTGTATAGTATCAATTTAGGTTAATGAAACATCATTTACCTTGCAATTCTTGCAGCACAGTCCTTGGGCACATTGTGATCCAGGTGTGAGTTTGCAGGTTGCAGCATCACAGCAGGGGTTGGTGCATTCCTGAGGAACAGCCATGGACAAGAAGACACTGTTTTTACCTGGCTATATAGCTAGGGAATTACATCAGCAGTCTGGGCAAGTCAAACTTTAAACACCATTGCTATACAAGGAGCAGTTGATGTCACTTGGTCTGTTCAGGCGGAAGAAGAGGAGACACAGGGGAGACCCCATCACTGGATAAAACTTCCTTGTGAGGGAAGGGGAGGGGCAGGCACTGATCTCTGCTCTCTGTGACCAGAGACAGGATCCAAGGGAATGGCATGGAGCTGTGTCAGGGGAGGGTTAGGTTGGATATCAGGACAAGGTTCTTCCCCCAGAGGTGTCTGGGCACTGAACAGCTCCCCAGGGCAGTGGGCACAGCCCCAAGGCTGACAGAGCTCCAGGAGTGTTTGGCCAATGCTCTCAGGCACAGGGTGGGTTGTTGGGGTGTCTGTGCAGGGACAGGAGTTGGACTTTGATGTTCCCTGTGGGTCCCTTCCAACTCAGTACATTGTGTGACTCTGTGATTCACCATCTCTGTCATGTTCTGAGGATGACAACCTTCTAGCAGCTCTAAGAGGAACCAGCCTACAAGTTGCTGTATCTTTTTAATACAAGTCATCAGAAAAACATCTGGTTTGACGCATTGTGGCACAGGTGTAAGCCTATAGGATAGGTTTGCACTTGAGATGGGCACTAAAAGAAGCAGAACACACTGTTTTGAAGTGTTCTTATCCTCCTTTCCCCATCTTGTTTCTGCACTACATCAGCAGTTTGATGTAGAGAAATGTTAGTCTTGTTTCATGACCTAGAAGAATGTCTGTACAATTGAACCAAGGTTTGCTGACAGCCTTTTGAGTTACTGATGTCTTTTTAGAAATACTTTTCTTTTCTGAAGAAAGAGCCAATACATCCCATTCTTTGGGGGATGTTTTGACAGTGCAAATATGACTAACAAAAGTCATTTTGTGTGGGAAAAGTTTAAGGCTTACAGTTAAGAAATCTGTTTGTGGTCTATAAACAGTGTCTGTCATGTAACAGAAATATCCATGATGCTAAACAAGTCAAAGCCCAATGGTGTTTCCACATACTCTGATTGAAATGCACTTGTTTCTCAGCAGTGCCTCAATGTTCTGTGAAGTCCAGTAGCCCTTAACCTAAGTGTGATTTTAAGCTTTTACTAAGATTTATCTTCACATTGCTCACAAAAATGTAAAACTACGAGGAAAATACCTCAGAGATTAACACAATCAGGTATAGCAAAAGACCAATATTATATAACATACAAGGATCCATATGAATTTCATCCCTTACCTCTGGTTTGCCACAGTCACATTCTTCATTGTTATCCACCACATTATTTCCACAGACAGGTTCTTTGTACACATTACTTGTTTTGGGAGGATTTCTAAGGCAGATTCCTCCTCCATTTAGAATAAGGGTCTCAAAATCATCAGCACTGCAGGTGCTGAAATTCCTGGATCCACTGGAAAGCAGAATATTTTATTACTATAAATATGTTTTTTCAGGGGAAAATACAACTCAAGCCCTTAAAATATTGTCAATCTGTAATAAATATTGTGTTTCATAATGCTAGGAAATCATTATATAGTAATTTTTACTTTATTTTGCATTAAAGTCCAGTCCTAGAAGTAAGAAATACTATGGATAATGCAAATGCATGAACTTTCAGAAGCCAGAGACCATCAGATTATATGTTCTGGTGTCCTGTACAAAACAGGCCTTACAAATTCCTTGTCTGTACTGAGTATAAAAATGTTGGATTAAAAAATCCTTTCCAGAAAGACATTTTCATAGAATCATAGAATTTAGGGGTTGGATAAAATAATAGGATCTGTTTCTCCTAAGGGGAAACCAAAGAGCAAAGGAACTGAAAGAAACATAAGCCAAGAGGCTTTGTTTAATTTGACTGTGCAGGAATTTGTTGCATATTTGCACAAATCCAGTGAGTATATGTAAAACATTCTCAGCAGAATGAAAAAAACCCCCAACCCAGCAGGACACTATCATTAAAAATTGACAAAATCCAAGTAAGTTTTTAGGAATGCTACAAACAAAAGAATATTGGTGAGAAAGGAGATAAAATATCAAATATATTATGTCCCTGGAGGTTTTCAAAATGAGACTGGATGTGGCACTTAGTGCCATGGTCTAGTGACCTCGGGTAGGGTTGGACTTGATGATCTTGGAGGTCTTTTCCAACCTGGTTAATTCTATGATTCAAGATCAAATCCTAAGTCAATCAATCCATGATTAAATTTTTCGAACAAATTCTCATTCCCGAAAGTTTTTCATGGGAGTTTCACACCTTAGGCACAGTCACTGCAGAGAAGTTATTGAAATAAAATGACTGGAAAACTTACTTGTCTGTGCTGTGCATTATGTAGGATGCAGGACACCTCTTATCATCATGTTTCATGCCGAGATTATGCCCCAGTTCGTGTGCAACTACTGTAGCATGACGTAACATATTGTCATGATTCAACTAATAAAGAGAATCAGGGTTAAAAAAAGGGTGAAACTAAAGGAAATACTGTTTCTACCTAGTGATTTATACCCACTACAAAGTTCCTGGAGGATGGGGATGCAGAATACTCAGTTGTATTGTGAGGTGAAAGCAGCAAGAACAGATAATTTGTCACTTCATTTTCAGGTAGGACCTGATTTTGCCACTCCTTCCATGAGGATCATATTCTGAATAATAACAGTGGCAGGTGCACTGGATGAATGTTGTATGTCCCTCCCAGCTGGAATTAGTCTATTTTATTCCATTCTATTCTGACACATTTAGTCATTCATGACACTGATTTCAATGGAGTCTTCAATGACAGATGTACAAAGAACAGAATCAGCTTCTGAGATTGTCCACAATGTTGTGACATCCCTATTTTAAGGACAGGAAGAACCTCTGGTTCTGCCTTAAAGGTGGATAAAAAACATTCTTACTTAAATATTATTATTATACTTACACTTTTTTTCCCATATATAAATTTTTTTGCCTGTTTACAGCCTTATTGTGGGGAATTCCAGACACTTGAGAATATAATGCATTATGGTCACTTTCTACCCATGCAAAGAGTAAAAACCCACACATTGTTTCATAGGCTACATTCCCATCCTCAAACCACTGTGGTTATGGACATAAATGGTATGAGGATTGGCTTTTCTTATGCAACACTGAATTAGATGACTTACAAGAGATGTGCACTAAATCAGACAAGTGGAATTTGACAGAGACAAATTGGGAATACTTAAAGAAAAAAGGTGTAAAATATGTACAAGTCTTTAAGAAATCCCACAAAAGAAACCATATGACCCCATGTCTAGTCTCCAGGACCAGGGTGACTTGACCAAATAGGTCAGCAAAGTGCACATTATTTGTTAGGAGGTTCTGGAAGGTGCCTCTGTGGAAGCCAAGCCTGGCAACAGCAATATCCACAGCTCTGGGGATTGTAAATGCACAGGGGAAGGCCTTTGGTTGCTCACTAGCAGCCCCACTAGCAGCATCTCTCTGATAATTTAGCAGTTCCTGTGCTAGTTTCTTCCATTAATCATAGAATCAACCAGGTTGGAAGAGACCTTCAAGATCATCAAGTCCAACCCGACCATGGTTACTAGACCATGGCACTAAGTGCCACATCCAGTCTCAGCCTGAAAACCTCCAGGGATGGTGAATCCACCACCTCCCTGGGCAGCACATTCCAGTGCCTGAGCACTCTCTCTGTAAAAAATCTCTTCCTAAGATCCAACCTAACCCTCCCCTGGCAGAGCTTGAGTCTGTGCCCTCTTGTCCTGCTGCTGGTTGCCTGGGAGAAGAGACCAACCCCCACCTGACTCCAACCTCCTGTCAGGGAGTTGCAGAGGGTGCTAAGGTCTCCCCTGAGCCTCCTCTTCTCCAGGCTGAACACCCCCAGCTCCCTCAGCCTCTGCTCATGGCACTTGTGCTCCAGTCCCTTCACCAGCCTCTCTGGACCACATCATCATGTACTTACAGTGCTGAATGAGCCTCCCTGGACCTGTGAGCAGACAGTACCCACAAAAGCCATTCCAATGGATCCACTGTAAGAGCCTCTCCCTCTGCAACAAAAGCAGTTTGAAGATGGTGTTGAAAGGCAGGTTGAAAATTCATGATTTCTACTAGAAGACACTGATGGGTTTGAAAGAAATATTGCAAAGGCAAAATTTGGTCTTCCTGAAGTCAAGAAGAAATTTATCACCATATCAGGATTTCACTGTAATTAATAATTAATGTCTGAATAACAGCTTGAAAATAATGATCAGTCACCTAAGTGTGCTATGTCAGTGCTTCTGGATTCACTGGATCACAGAATGGTTGAGGTTGGAAGGGACCTCTGGAGGTCACCTGGTCCAACACCCCCAAAGCTGATTAAGGAATTTTTTGTAATTTCTTGTCATTTTTCCAGGTTAAACCAGTTTGCATTGCAGTGAATTTCCCTCCAGCTATATTTTCATTCATATGCAACCCCCAAATCATGCATGTTAACACTGTCAGCATGGCACTGAATGAAAACTTACATTATGAGATGGCCAACATCATTTCTTGATCTTTTCAGAAGATCTTTCTGTCTCCAAGAAACAAATCTACTCAGTACATCTCCAGCTGAACCATTCATTACAGGTATGTGGTTTCCATCTGTCCAGATCTCTAATCCAACCAAAACAATCTGGATGTTTAATGGTCTATACATCTGAAAAAAAACCCATCCATCAGTCTGTTTTGGTGGATGTCTTCACTACAGATGATTAAACAATAAGCTGAACATAGTGACCAAGACATAACTTTAGTTTCTTTGAAACTAAATATCTATTTGTGTTCCTAAATAAAAAATTAAAACATTTATAAATTATAAAATAAATAAAAATATTAAGACTATAAACCCAAATATAACTGAAAACAATCTACTTTAGGAAGGCACCTAAACACATCTTTCAGTTGGAGAAGTTGGAAAGATCATGTTCATTCATTTCCTTGGCTAATTGTCTTGAGTAGAAACTGGGAACAGGTGATCAGAGAGCTTGTGGAACTGCTCACAGCACGGACTGTTTTCTTAATAAAAATGAAAAATGCCCTTCCTAGAAATGTAAACCATACTGGAGACTTCACGTTCCTAGAGCAGGAAGATCTGGGGGCACACAGAAGTGGTTTAAAAACATCTTGCATCTCTCTCTGTTCTTGCACTTCTACAAGGCTTGTGCCCAGACTTGTGTTGTGCCTTAACTGTGTTACAAGTTGTACAACTTCCAAATACAGTTCCAGAACTGGTGTTTTTGAAAACTGTGATAAAGCGGAAGCTACTGAATCTAAGCAAATGATCTGACCTACCCCATCAACATAATTAATCAGCTCAACTGTTTCCTTTTGCACTGCAGCAGCATCAGAATTCTTCAGCACAAACTGTAAAATACCATGTGAGAATGTCAGAGAAAAAAACTAACAACATAATAAAATGTGTTTAGTGTTGGATGATGTAATTACCCTCTTGTTATCCACAACCACAAATAACTCCACATAACTTTTCTGGGGCAGGACAGCTCTTTTCTCCTGCAAATGAGAAAGCACAGTAAGTTAATACAAGGAGTTCAGGGTGCTTTGCTTATGTCTCTCATGCCTTTCACTTTGTGTGTTTATAAAGCAATGCTGTATTTTCTATTGTGGCCTCAAAAGTCAATTTGCCTTAGATTTCCACATAAATATCTGTAGCAGTAATTCATGCCTGGTCAGACACTAGGATGCATGAGCTGAACCTCTGCTCTTCTGCTGCAGGATTGCTTCAAGCTGTGTTAAATTCCCATTGTCTGTTCTTCTGTTTCAGGATTTCCTTAGCAGTTCTCCCACCAGTTTGGCTTGGCATCTGTGAAAATGAAGGCCACAAGAAGTGACCTGCCAGCCCAATCCCACCTGCAGTGACACCACCATGGAACAAGAGCTCTGGAGGCTCTTGGCTGCTGGAACAAGCTGAGGAGTTGGCTTGGAGTGCAGCAACAGAGAGAAACAGAAATGTATTTACCCTCAGAAGCTTGTCCCTGCTAGAGGTGCTGTTTGATGAAAAGGTGTATTCCACAGACTGCTTCACAAACATCTCCTGCTGGAGGCTGCCATTCAGCACACCACAGTGGAAGGGACTATCCTGCATGTCTTCTAAGGCATAAAACACATGTTCAAATGTGCTGGATGTGTTGAGTGGTTCCATTCCATACCATTTGCCACCAATGTAGAGAATTCCCCTAATAACCATAAAAGAATGAAAAAATGTTCCATCATTTTTCCCCTCCTGGTTATGACTAGGTGAGTGAATGACAGTTGGATACTTTAAAACTAGAACTGTTCAAACCACAGTGTTGAAATAAATTATGAGCTTAAATTATATCAATTTGGGTGTAAGTTCAAATGCCCAACAGGATCTCAGAAGACAAAACAGAGCTTATTTAAAAGGCTCAGTCATACCTAAGTGTGGGCTCCTTGAATCAGTTAGAACAGAAAGGAAAAAAGCAAAGAGAAGAGAGCCAATTGTTTAAAAATGAGTCTAGATTGTGGGTACAGAGTTGTTATAAAGGGTCTCTTTTAGTCCTTATCTCTTAGTCTCACTCCTAGCCCCATGCAGCTAAAGTAATCTAGCAGTTTAGCAAAAGATATCTTGTAAGACAGAAAGAGAGGCTAAAATCAATCACCAGGGTGTTTATGAGGGCAACAGCAGCACTGCACTGCTGAGTGCAGCTGAGCATAAAGATTTTACATCTGTCTGTGGCTCAGAACCCCCTGGTACATGCCCATTTGCAGTACAAGAATCTTTCAGAAGCTCTTATCTTGTTCTTCAGAATCTCAAAACTACATTTAGAACAAGAACTCTCTAGTTTCTATCTTGCAAAAGAAGATCCTCAAAAAATGTGGGTACAAGGTGACTAAAGGGTTTGAGTCAAAGATTGCAGAACAACCAGAAAGAAATACCTGTTCTGCATAGTGAGATCCAGTGTTACATGAAATACCAGAATGCTGAGCATTTTACCCTTCATTTAAGGGAATCCCAGGACAGTGCTGGAGCAGGTCCAGAGAAGAACAACGAGGCTGGTGAAGGGACTGGAGCACAAGTGCCATGAGCAGAGGCTGAGGGAGCTGGGGGTGTTCAGCCTGGAGAAGAGGAGGCTCAGGGGAGACCTTAGCACCCTCTGCAACTCCCTGACAGGAGGTTGGAGTCAGGTGGGGGTTGGTCTCTTCTCCCAGGCAACCAGCAGCGGGACAAGAGGGCACAGACTCAAGCTCTGCCAGGGGAGGGTTAGGTTGGATCTTAGGAAGAGATTTTTTAGAGAGAGTGATCAGACATTGGAATGTGCTGCCCAGGGAGGTGGTGGATTCACCATCCCTGGAGGTTTTCAAGCTGAGACTGGATGTGGCACTTAGTGCCATGGTCTAGTAACCACAGTAGGGTTGGACTTGAGGATCTCTGAGGTCTTTTCCAACCCGGTTGATTCTATGATTCTATCATTCTTGTAAGTGATACATCACTGTGACAAAATACATGAAAGATACATGGGTGAATTTATCCCATTTGCCTCTTCCTCCTTGGTAAAACAACATCAAACTGAACCAGCCTCCTCTGACTGAAAAGTATATCCAAAGTC